TTTTTTTCGTGCCAAAAACGGCATACTATACTATGTCGTTTTTTTCGTGCCAAAAACGCCTTACTATACTATGTCGTTTTTTTCGGCTCAAAACGTCTTACTATACTATGTCGTTTTTTTTGGTGCCAAAAACGGCATACTATACTATGTCGTTTTTTTCGTGCCAAAAACGCCTTACTATACTATGTCGTTTTTTTCGGCTCAAAACGTCTTACTATACTATGTCGTTTTTTTTGGTGCCAAAAACGGCATACTATACTATGTCGTTTTTTTCGTGCCAAAAACGCTTTTCCCTTAAAATTAAGGACAATTAAGAACATAATTTTCAACTTCTTTATGGATTTTTAGGAACTTTAAGAACCCGTGGGAACCCTGGATTGAGGTTTGGGCGACTGGCGTTTGGGCAATCGGGGTTAGGGAGCGACAATTAAGAACATAATTTTACAACTTGTTTTTTTAATGGATTTTAATGAACTTTGAGGACCTGTGGGACCCCTGCAAATGTTTTTTGACCGTTGGCAAACATTTGCGACCTTGAACGAACCCTGACAAGCAACATTCGCTGCCATCGAAAACACTCGCAATGGCTTTTTTTTTTTAAGTTAGTTTAGCAACTTTCAAAAACATAACCATTATTACATTCATTCTATTTTGCCATTTTCTACACCAAGAATGGGTTGTTTGTCCAAAACGTGTATGGCCCTGGTGGTCTCCCACCTCTCACCCAAAGTAAGCTATGGCAGGCTCCTATTGATCTGCAAGCCCGGTGAGGCTAAGCGGTACAGAAAAAGGGTGGAAACTATAGCCTCCAGAATTAATTTTTACTTTTAAGTTACCAGATGGCTACCAACGGTTATTCTCATTCACACCAAATGTATCACACTTGACCTCAAAAGTAATAACAACACATTATTACAATAATCCTAATAATTCTAAAAGATCTTTCAAATACTGTTCATAATCAATGTTGTCAATAAAAATCAGGACCTGTTCCGAGGTGAATGGTTGAAGCTCGTGGTTCCCTTTGGTTGGACAGCAGGAGGCGAGAGTCCCGGTCCTCCGGTGGTTGCTTCGGCAACCACGACAACGATGACAAAAGAAATTGAAAAATGGCGGATACTTGCCACATGTGAGCCCGAGATAAGCGGGAGGCGAGCACGACGTCGTGAGGCCTTTATGCCACAGGAACAGGAACCATATGGAAACCTGTTACTGGAACTTCCAAGGTAAAACACACACATATAGAATTTAAATAGTATTGTGATAAATTGTTTTTAAAAATGTATATAATAATTGTGTATTTGTTTTATTTATAAAGAAATCAATCTTTAGTTTATATAACTACTGATGTAACATTTCACTTCATGCTTGCTCACATTCTTTTGTAAAACACAAAATACACGGCTAACTATACAGTATGAACAATTAATGAACCTATGAAATCATTGTAGTACACTACTAAGCTTTAAAACTAAACTATGTTAATCACTACCATTACATTTTAAATGTTTGTCTTTATTCATCTTTTTTTTATTACTATTCTTACTCCATATCGCTGGTATTTCATCATGAATGATTTGCTGGAAAACTTCCTCATGACACTTTTTTTGCTTATTACCTTTGGTGGTGTGATTCATCCACAATCAATGTATTGATGATGAAGATGATAACAGCGATGAGAACAGAGTCACGTTATTCTATAAAAAAAGGTGGAAGTTAAAAATGTTCAATCAATTACTGGCAATGTAAATAGCACCAGCTATTTTGTAATTATAGGGAAGTGGCAGTGAAAACACTATGGTCTTATTTCAAGAAGTCACGACTAATTACAAACACTAAACATATTAAGAGCTTTTGTGATGTTTTTTTATTTTTTACTTTACAAGGTAAATAATAGTGCTGATGTGGGGAAGGAATATGGTGAAGAGTAAAAATACCTTCTACGCAGTTAAAATATGGATTTCTGACCACTCAAACATTTACACGCAAACTATCGCACACTTTTTTTTTTTTGCTGCTTACAAAACCATTTTTATACGAATTATGTTTTAGGGAGCTTGCATTCAATCATGACGAAATGGCGGCAACCTGCGCAAAAAGTGAGCACGCTAACGTTAGCGAGGATGCTAAAAGTTGCTTGACTGTCTTTAGCGGTCTTAACCCGGGAGGTTTCCCTGGCGCTGCGACAACTGACATTACTTTGTCGTGTAGTCGCCTTTGTGGCTTCCCTGCTCGGCCGGCCGGCGTGAGAGAAAGCGGGGCAAACAATCGTGTTAAAAATAGAACTTGATTGTACAGTAGCCGTTTTGTGTGTCGCCATTGGCAAGCCCGGCAGATGGGTGGAGTGGGCGGAAGCTTCGGGAGGGTAACGATGATTGACAGCGAGGGCGGTCCAATCGGAAGGTGCACCAGCAAAGCCTATAATGCCTCAGCGGGGGGAGAGACTGTGCCCCGGAGTGAGCCTCCTCGGACTGCCTGGGAGAGAAGCACCTGTAGCACGCACTCAGAGACGCCTCTGCCCTGCGTTACACACCCGCAGAAACTCGCGAACCATCGGAACGATGCTGTTCCACCAGCCGCGTGTCTTGAGCTCCCTCCTTGTCGCGGTCGCGGTCGCCGTCATGGGTGAGTCAACTTGCCACTTTTGGGGTTCTCCTAAGGCACCACGTTTCAAGACGATTACATCGGGTTTTTTGTTTGTTTTGGTTAAACAAAACAAACGTTTTCCGTTGCTTTGTATGTTGGCCTCAACTGTACAGAATACTATTCACACCATAAACTAATATCAGTACTTGCCAACTTTTATTGAGACAATTCGTGTACCGTATTTTTGGATGGAAATTCTCACGGTACACTACCAAACAACAACAACAACAAAATACTAATTCTCAATTTACTCACATATTAAATACTGTTAAATTTGGGCCTGTTGAGTTGAACATATTATTATTATTATTATTATTATGTTATATGGGGTGCCAAACCCATTTTTAGCACAGGCCACATCAAACTACTGAAAATGTATCATCACTTACATTTCCATTTCAGTTATAAACGTTTGTTATACACAAGTACGCCTTGTATTGAATTGTTATGATACAGATGTTTAAAAGCAAACTGAATTTAAAATCAGAAGTCATGGAGGGTACAGCCAAAACAAAAACAGATGTGAATCAGAAACTCTGTTATGATTTTCAAAGATGTGATGGCATCAACTCTAACAGCATTTAAAATGAAATGTTCTAATAAATACTATTGTTCCATATGTATTTTTAGACCAGATTTGGGTGGGGTGGGTGGGGGGGGGCAGGCATCTGTAAAAAGGATGAAAGCAAATTTCATTTGGGCACAGACTTTCGGAGGGGGAAAATGAAAAATCCATTTGGAAAGAAACATGAACTAGACACTATTTGCTTTAGGGGTCCACACAAAATGATGTGTGTGTGCGTGTGTGTGTGTGTGTGTGTGTGTGTGTGTGTAGGGGGGAGTTTCACACGTAGGGCAACAGGTTAATTCTGCCTTGTGCTTTCTACACCGGTGGTTGGGGACCACTGGCCCTAGAGGAACAAAAATACATTACATTTAGGAAATAACGTTTTAGTAAAATGGTTTTCCTTCCTGCGGCACACCTGGTTGAAAGTATTAGTAAATGCGATAAATATCAGAGAGCAGACCTGTCCGGTTGTATAAACAGACTTTTATTACGTCCAGGACACGACTCGCATTGTCCACACGGATGCTTTTATGTACATATAGGTCACAATAAAAAGATGTTTGTGCAAATGATATCATTTAGCCGCATCAACTCATGTTTGGACAATTCAAAAGGTGACACGAAATTAGTGTGATTTCAAAACGAACCAAAGGATGGTGAGCCATAAACTAATATCACATAGTTAAGCAACGTTTCCCAAATGTTACTGAGCCATGGCATGCATTTTAAAATCCAACTCTCACATAACGACACTCAAAGCGGCAACAAAAAAAGTATCGACACTGAAATAATGATCATCTTGAGCATTCTCATAAATGTATTTTACTCGGTGTGGAATCTGTTGTGTTGAACACAAAGCTTTTTATTCTGCCGCGTGGATAGCAACAGGTTGCTTCTACCGAGCCATACCTGAAAAATGTACTTCAAATCCATGAGCAAAGTGTTTGCACTTTGCCAATTGCATCGACTCATGTTTGACTCATGTCATTAACGCAAACAGAGGGTGACGACAACTCTATTCTTTCATACAAACCAAAAAGGATTACAGGACATTTATAAGGGCAAGATAAATGTTTGACGACAGCAACTGACATCACCGGCTTTCGTGAAATTTCACGAAAGCCGCCATTCGGGTCATTACCATTTTTTTTTTTCACTGATTGGATCGGTCCAAGTCACGTAGCGCATGCTTGGAAATTGATTATTCAGGAGATTCAGGGTGTTTTCGCCCATTAGGGTTAATTTTGATTAGTGTACAATAACTCGACAGAAGGTTGCCAAATTCTTTTTTTTTTTTGGGGGGGGTAACCCTACTGAACTGCTTTGGTGGAAATGTTTCTTGAAAAAAATTTGAGGGTAAGATGAAACATTTATCTTGAATGAAAAAAAAAAAAAAGATATGGAAGCTCTTTGTGGCTTCGCGGCAATATTTCGTTTGAGTTTCTTTGTATAAGAAGAAGCAGCGCAGGTCATTTGTTTACCGTATTGAATGGGGCCATTGAATGGGTAGTTTGAGTGTGGCTGGCATTTTCAAACAGCGCCAACAAGTCGGGAAGGATTATTTATTTGAGTCTCCTACAATAGGAAAAAAAAAAGCAATAAACCGAGTCCCCGTTATTGGTGGAAAACGGGGCTTGGCGCTAATATTTAAGCGACAACTGCTACCCTAACATGGAGCAGCCCAAAAAGTCATTTTTTAAATTTCATTTCATTTTTTTTCTTCTTTTTTTAAACAACATAATGCAAACGAATAGTAACGCTTGATGGCAATTGATCGGTCTCCCCGCCTAGGGTTAGGAGGCTCATCACATGGCGTCATGTGCCCGAGGATGTCATTCCCCTGACCGAAGCGTGATCGAGTGAGCCTGAAGTGGTGATTTCCTCTCGCTTGCGCGTTCTGCTTTAGCGAGAGCCGCTGATGTTCCCCATTTTGTGCACAGCTTCCACATTTTCATTGTGTAGCGAGATACGGAGCTTGACTTCCCGTTCCTCTGCAATAAGCAACCGTGACTTCAATTTCTTCTCCCCCGCCCCCTTTTTTTTTTTTTTTTTTAACCATGATGCTGGAGTTGTTTTGTGTGCGTCCAATTGTGTGGATTAGAGTGCAAGAGGACTCTAAGTCTTACGTGGTAGTTGGCCCAGCTTTAATTGGATATGATACCTGCAGAGGTCGTGCGACGCGGCCATCTGTTCGAGCGCACATGGGGCTTTATTTCCACAGCAGGATCTCAGAACTGGCGGACGACTCTTGTTTATTTAGTTGAGATCCAACCCAGACGGCTTTTTTATGGACAGGCCGAGTCGTATAAGTGCAAGTACTTCTATTTGGGTGCTCGCCTGTAATCGAGTGTGGCTATTTGATGATGCCATTGATGTCTGACAATTTGGATGAAAATGGGTTTTGTTTTTCATGAACACGGCAGATTCTACTTCAACTAAGACACTTTTTTATTTATATACGTAGTCTTTTTTTTCTCGTCCTGATAAGCTACATCAAAACCAAATTGTGATTTCTATTTTGGCCTCCAGTAATTTCCGCATCGCTTTTCAGCCCCCCCCCCCACTGCAATTTGAAGGTGTACCCATCCCCTCAAGCGATTCCATAAAAGCTTCCTGATGCCATTTTATTGAGTTCCGCTGAAAGTCGCATGACATGTTTCAAACGTGCACATACGTCAAACAGCGACATGAGGGTACTGTACAATGGATCCCGCATATGTTGTAATTTTCTGTCACATTACCTAGTGGAGCTTGATTTCAAGAAAATTGTGAACTGGATCAAAATGGCAAAATCTGCCAGAAAAATTGCAGTTCATTCTTTTCTTAAAATCGTTCAAGCCGAAGTACTGAAAGAAAGCACCCGGTCACAGTTTTGGCTCCAGGAAGGTCACATACAAAGAAGGCAGTTCAGCGCCGACGCTCATTTCGGACGCTCTGTTGTGTCGAAAGCAAGTTGGTGCTCATTTCACAGTTCTAGTTGGATTCCGCCTTCACTGAATTCTATGCAAAAGGCATCGGCGGATAAACGCTGGGTATTCTGTTACAGGTTTTTCTGGGCTCTCTGCCTGAACGCGGCTTGTGACAAGAGTTGGGTCATGACGGGAAGTGGAAGGGACAGTGCCTCCGGCGGGATGAGCGCTCGACAGTCGAGTCATTGTGTGTCTCAAACATGCACTTTTTTTTTTTTTTTTTAAACGTTAAAAGCGATCTGAATGTGGGTAAAAGCCGGACCCTTTCTGATCCGGCCCTCCCTAGTGTTGTGTTTGTCGAGCACCTTTGACCCAGTCATTCCTTTTGTGTCTGCGGGGATTATCTGCAGCGGGAGAACCCCACACAGACAACACACTCTTAACGACTGCACGCCGGCGGCCCCCGCGACGCCCGTGCCCCCTCTTAGCGGATGGCTAACGTCGTTAATATTACATAACACCTACAGACGACATCTCTCAGACACCCCCACGTTTCATTATTTCTATTCTTTCGGGCGTTGCTTGAAAATGTCACTGAAAAAAAATGACAGTACCGTATTTTCCGCACTAAAAGGCCCACTTAAAAGTCTTCCATTTTCTTAAAAGCTCACAGCACGCCTTAAAATCCAATGCGCCTTGTGTATGGCCATTACGGTGATATTTCGACCCCAAAATGGCTCCTTGCTCGAGACGTGCTGACAACGCAGAGTTCAAATTTAAGGCGATCGGGTTACGCAGTTTAACACGGAAATAGAGCGGCGGGAGTTCAAAGTTCACGAGTCAATGTTCTAACTTGCTGTTGGTTAAGTGAACTGTGTCGCTGCTTTATTAAATACGTTTTACTGACATCTGATCATTCTGTTGGCGTTTCCTTGAGCGTCATCTAGTGGATTGCGTCTTGTAAAGCGGTGCGCCCAATGTATGAAAAAAAATGTACAAAATAGGCCATTCATTGAAGGTGTGCCTCATAATCCAGTGTGCCTTTTAGTGTGGAAAATACGGTACGATAAAGGTTATAGATTAAAGAGTAATCCATGCGTAAACACAGAGAAAATAAAAATCTGTATAATTATTAAAAAAAAAAAAATAAGTGAAGTATTAATAAAGTACAGCTCGCGATTAATATTGACTCAATGAAGATGAAATTGATTGATGCCTTGAACTAAAAGTTAAACATTGTCATATTTTAAACCGATATTTATAAAAGTCTACATGTGCAATCGAACGTCTTTTAAAGGAAGTGGCGATGATTTATTCCATATTTAACAAAGGCTGACTTCTTCCTCCTGCTGCGCTGCCTTTTTTATTGGCGCCAGCACACACTCGGTGCTCCACTACGACCATTATACGGAGATCAAAGGTGCCGATAACGCGTGCACACACCTCCGTACACTTGAACAAACACACACTAATGTCCTATCTCGGCAAGACTCGTTCCCATAACGACCATGCTCACTACTTGACCAGTCAAACACTGACAACGTGATAGGACTATGTTTGAAAATCAAGGATAAAATGTGCCAACTCCTTGAACGGAAAGAATGTGAAAAGTAGTCTCGGCGTGAAATGTAATAACCTTCGGTACCCCGCGGCCCCTTTTCACGTGTGCGCAGACGACACGGCATGGCGAGAGCGTGACGGGGCTACCGTGAATGAACGCGAGCACTGCTGGACGCGGTGTAAGAGGTTTTGTAATCGCCATCACTGGTCATCCGATCTCAGATTAGCGCGCCACCTTTAAATTGTAACCTAGACAAGAGCGTCGCCATGCGACGCGGCGGCCACGTTGTCATGCTACTTCTGACATGCAGCTATTCTAATCCTGACACAATACTTATATTAAAGGTCGGACCCGCACCCAAAATCTGCATTTGCTATTCGTGTTCACGTTGACGAGCAAGTATGCCGGCGCGTTGACGCAGCGGCATTAACCTTTAGAAAGGTTTTCCTTTTTAGTTGAAAATAGCTTTCTTCAAGAGTAGAATCCAGTCGTACGACAAGCAGCACTTCCCTCGTGACGCCCCTTTTCTCAGCTGATTTTCTCCACCCTTCCTTTACTTTAAAATTCCAACCTGGATCCCCACACGGGGTCTTCAGGATGCCAATGATTTCGTATCAGTTGTATCTGCCTTCTCCCGAGTCACGTTTGTTTGTTTTTTTTAGGAATGTCAAACAACAGAAGGTATTCGGAATGTCATATTTTTCCTCATGTCACCGCATTCCTGAAGAGATTAGTTTCAACTAGAGAGAAAAGAATGTTTAAAACAAAAAAAAAAGGTTCTGATCTAACTGATTACCTTCAAAGTAAGCGGAATTCAAACCGCAGGAGCAATGACACAGTGCCAAAACACACAGTAAATGTTATGGCAGGTTGGATGGGGGGGGGGCATAAAAAAAAAAAAAAAAAAAATCTGTCTTCATAAAAATACTGGCATGAAGTTTAGTTGTCACTACAAAACCATCTTTCTAGAGTAGAACAATTTTTTTTTTTGCTTATCAAACAAGATGACTTACATTGATGTGGTAAAGTATCGCTGAAGATTATACATGACACACACATTTATACTTACATGCGTTTATATTGACTCTATCAGTCATCTTATCAAATTCTCTCCTTATGTAGTAACAAGAAAGAGAAGGTTGTTACAATTTGCTGATCGTTTCCTTCATCTTTGTTTTGACCGTAGTGACGGCAGTCGACTCGGACAATGTTAGCACCACAGTCGCGGGAGTGTCCGGCAACGGCGAAAACACGACGAGAACAGAAACGCTCAGTCCGCTGAGCAACCACGCGACGTCTACGCAATCCGCAACTAATCCACTCACGACAACCGTCAGAGATGAAACGTCCGTCACCGGCAACACCGTCCCGACAGCGACAGGCCAAATCGACGACACGTCGACGGCACATTCGCCCGACCACGATTCCACCATGACGACGGTCACGCAAGTCACACACCCAACCATGAGCAACAATGTCACCACCTGGATCACAACGCCCGGCCCGGACTACAACGGTGCAACCTCGGTGATGACAGTTGGTCCGACCAACACTGACATGATGTCAACAATAACCAGTCAAACAAACAACCACAGAACATCAGCAACAGCAACCAGTCCAACCACCAGCAACATGTTGACGACAACCGGGCCAGGAAACGACGTCACGATCTCAACGACCACAATGGGCGCATTCATGACAACGACTGGTCCACATGACAAGACAACCATGACGATAACACCGGGTCTGACCCATAACGGCACAACTTCGGCAGCGACGACCAGTTGGATGGACGGTGACACAACATCCGTAACAACAATCAGCTTGACCAACAACGACACAACGCTACGGACAACAAGCGGTCCGCCGAACACCGTGACGTCAATGCCGACGAGCGGTCCGACCGCCGACGCAACGTTATCGACAACAACCGGTCGAGCCCCCGATGACACGACATTGCAGACGACAACGGGTCTGACCAACGACGTCACCTCAACGACAACTCGTCCGACCAGCGACGAAACGACCTCCGTGACAACGGTCAGCCCGACGGACGACGGCGCATCGCTGACGACAACCGTTCAGACCGACGCAACCTCCATGACGACGACCGGCCTGACCAACAACGACACGTTACACACGACGACCGGTCCGACCGACGGGGGCACAACCTTGATGACGACGCCCGGTCCGACCAACGGCGACGCAACCACGATGGCAACTGACGGCACCACCCTGATGACGCCGATGAGTTCGACCGACACAACGTTAACGACCGGAAGAACCGCCGGCTCGACAACCATCACCCCGACCATCAGTACAACGTTGATGGCAACCGGTACATGGACCGACAACACCACACCCACCGAAGGCCCAACAACCTGGACCACAACCGCCAATCAGTCCGACGATGACACAACTACGGCGAGCCCGAGCAGCCCTACGGAAATGTCGCCCGTCAGCACCACAAATAGTCCCACCACCTCAGCGGCAACATCAGGAGGTACAACAACAACAATGCAGACATTGGTGTGTTGTCTTTGGATTGATTGTCGCATGTTTTTGAACGTTACGATGTAGCATCCGCTCAACCAACAAGCAGCCTCACCCCGACTTCGACCGACAAACCCACTCTGACCCCGCCTGGCCCAACCAAGGGTCCAATTATAGGTTTGTACCATTTAGATTTTGTATTGTCGCATCATGGGCTCGTCAGCGCATCACCTTTTCATCTGTCCTCAGTTTGCCCCGCGGAACAGTGTCCTCTTGAAAGCGTCTGCCTGAACGGAACCTGCCAGTGTCTCTCCGGGAGTTTCTTGGTGGGCGACCGTTGTCTCCGTGGTAAGCGAGACTCGAAATGCGAGTGAAACGCCGGTGGTCGTGTCTTATTGGGTCATTTTTTTTCAAGCTCAAGTGTTTCCTGGGCAGCTCCACCTACTCTCCTTGACATTTACCAAAGAAATGCTGAACAGGTCGTCCAAAGCGTTCCAGGACACGGCGGCGGACATCTCTGCTTCGGTCAGCTTTGAGCGTCACACAAAACGATATTTGGGCGTTTTTCCCCGTTTATTGAACACATTTGCATTGTTTCGTAGCTTGGCGATGCCTTTGCGGGTCAACCAGGATACATCCGCTCCGACGTGGTACAGCTAGCGTGAGTTATTTTCCCAGAAAAAAAGGCCCCACCTGGCATCAGGAATTTTTTTTTTCTTACGATTTGCATTTCCAAGCAGCCCGGGAAGCGTCATCGCGACCGTCAACAACATTTTTGACAACACGCCGGCCTCTCAGGAGGCAGTCGAGCAGGTCATCAAGGATGCCATCGGAAGCAGCTCCCAAGGCTTGTTGGTCAACGCGACATTCGGCGGTGAGCGAACACCATCTCGTGACGAGCGGTGAAACTGATGATCGTGTTTCCTCACTTTTTTTTAGGATGCCATCGGAAGCAGCTCCCAAGGCTTGTTGGTCAACGCGACATTCGGCGGTGAGCGAACACCATCTCGTGACGAGCGGTGAAACTGATGATCGTGTTTCCTCACTTTTTTTTGATGTTGTTTTGATCCTTTATAGGCACGAAGCTGTGCGATCAGCCTCCGCTTCCCTGTGATGCGACCACCACGAGGTGCATCAGCGCAAATGGTCGCGTGGGTTGTTCCTGCAAAGCCGGCTACATCTCCACCGTCTACTCCAACACCAGCTGCAAGGGTACCGACATCTATGATGATGACAACAGTGACGCCTTAAGGACAGCAACAGATTTTGAGAACTCACAAACAATTAAACCCCAATGAAATTAAACACCAACGTCACAACCTCAACGACCAACAACAAGACTACCATGATGACGAAAAAAACAAACAAACTACAATCTGACAAGCAACGACAACCTCAATGACAAAAACCGGACCAACCACCAACTCTCTCATGTTATTGACAACAACTGATCCAACCGACAATCACCTCGATGACAAAAAAAACAATGACAAGTGGACTCACCACCAACAACAGCATCTGAATGACAACTTTGCATGTGTGTAAAGTGTTTTTTTTATGAATATCCTTGTGGATTTCTGCAGCTTGTCCCAGCGGTCAGGAAGTGGTGGGCAACAGCTGCCAGAAGTGAGTAAATCCACACATTTAAAGTTGCATACATACATGTTATATGTATATAATATATATGGACATTTCAATGAATGTCTTTTTTTTTCTCCTCTCTCGCCCAGATGTGCCTTTGGATACGCAGGCTTCAACTGCACTGACTGTGAGTGACTAAATTACCGATTTTTATTGCGTTGTGAGCAAAGAGTGACAACAAAATTGTGTGTTGGCAGCCTCTCTGTTGGCGGTGGTCATCGTCTCCTGCGTTTTAGGCGGAATTCTACTTATCTTACTGTTGGCTTTGCTCTCCTACTGCTGTTGGTGAGTCCATTGACACTTCATTCAATGTGTGGTCAAAAATGTAGTGCGATTACTCACAACTAGGGGGCAGTCCACGACACAGGAACGAAAAGTAGACGAAAGAAATGCATTGCAATTTCGGCAGATGTGTTTCTGCCAATCAAGCTTGGTCAATACAGAACATTAAATAAAAAATAAAAACTGAGAAAAACGAATAAAATGAAACCAAAAAAAATTAAGCAAACACACACATCCACATGGGTACAATTTTAATTCCAGAAATGCTCATATTAAATAATTCTATACATCATATGTGAAAGGACATTTACAGTAATTGTCAGATTAAAATATTAGCAAAACACATCCAAAATAATAAATAACCCTCTCCGTCCTCGGTAGGTGGAAGTGCTCTGCCAACCAGGCGGAGTGCAGTGACCCCAGCCCATACTCGGCGGGCGAGTTGACCAAGCCGTGGCCTGTCGACATCACGCCCATTCCGCGCGCTACCACCGCTGCCACCTGGGACGCTGCGTCTGCCATGGAGATGATGGACAAACGGCATAACGGCAATGGCGTGGTGAGCCGCGCTCTTCGCTTTCAGGAGGCCTCTTTATTATGAAGAAAAAAAAAACAGCTGTTAAGATCCACAGTGCCGCATCTTCATGTATTGATATATTATTCACCAAAGGGAAATCATGGCAAAGTTTTCTGAAAGTAGCTTACTACTTTAATCCATCCACTTTGATCAATCTCATGGCGCTGCCATTTTGTCGGATACCATCCACCGGGGTCAACTGAAATTAATGTCACTGTGCCCTCGGCCTCGCATTGTTCTATGGATTTCGTCACGTGATGATCGCAATTTTGTCACTAGCGGTATCAAATATCACCATAACATCTGTATCACTGCCAAAGTGTCACCAAAATAGGACAATTAACCTTGTCAAAGTATGATATTTTATCGCGATACCATTCGTGACCTATTGGGATTGTTGGCAAAGCAACACGATATGATATCGTCATACCATTTGTAACTTCGGAATTGCATTGTGATTATATTGTGTCGTGATACCATTCATTGGTATCATGACAATAACGTATCGTGGTACTCTGGTATCGTGATACTCTTGCAACACGCTATTATTGGTAACTTTTGCATTAGATCCTAATAATATCAAATGATTCTATTGATATTGTATCATTTGAAGTATGGTGATTTTATACCATCAGTAACAATCATATTGTCCGCTGTCAGACTCATTGTGCAGGTATTTCGTATCATGCTACTAAGACGTTTATCTCTAAGCTTCAGGCTCCTGCCGTTCTTTTCTGCAGTTAACGTTTAAATGTACTGCAACGACAATGTCATTTGGTAGCTAGATTAGTAGCTAGTACGGCTCGTAGATCGTTTTTCCCCCCATGCTCCCCTGCTTTGCCTGACTCCCGATGTGTCGCTTTAGGGCTTTCCTCCGAAGCAGAAAGGATGGAAAAAGGTAAGGTTTCATCCTTCCTGGTGGTCTTAGTGTGGACTACAGATATGGTGACGGGATCTAAAGAGATGGTGGTGGTGCTAGTGAGCTTATAGCCGGGTAGTTGTGGTGGTGGTCTACAGCTATGTGTGTGTACGTGAGAGAGATGTGACTAACACATCGACTGCTCTCGCTGCCATTTCAGTCAGGATCGTATGATCTCAACCCGGACAGAATGAAGACCTTCACAAGTAAAAATCCGTCACGTTACACGTACCTGGTCCAAGGCCATGAGAACCCGTACTTCCTGCCAGGCGACGACAAGAAAAACTGACACAGCTTCTCCCAACACCTTTCGATGGACGCTTAAAACTTTTTTTTTTTTTTTTTTTTAAATCAAAGAGGCTGACGATGTACGGTTGTGCAGAGTCGAGCAATGCTAACAGTGGCCAGTAAGTGTCACTGGTGATTTTTGTTTTCCTTGTCGCCTTGAAATTGAAATTGTGCGACATGACCTGTTCAAGCAATGGTTTATTGAATGTGGCTTATTATGATTACAATAAGAATCCATAATGACAAAATAAGGGCTGGTCCCCCGTTCCAAATGCTGGTGAAGGGATTTTTAATTTTTTTTTTTTTTTAGCACCTTAAACATATTGGAATGTTGATAGGAACGATGTTGGGGTTTTTTTGTGGTGCGTGTGCCAACTATCACTTTTGTCATCATACTGCTGTTCTTTTATTTGTGTTTTATAAGTGTGTACAGTTTTTTGTAAATAATTGCACATCAGCTGAATAAATAATTTAAATTCAAACAGTAGTCATCTTTTAATTAAAAAAAAAAAACAGGGTACCTGTAATTGTTTTTTTTTGTAATGACTAACACACAAAAAAAAAAAAAAAAAGCCAGATTGCTAAATAATTGCGCAGAACCCCTCCGTTTTGGGTGCATAACAAGAGTTTCTAGTTTATTGCTTGTAAGAGGAGAAGTTGTACAGAGCAGATGCACAGCTGATTGTGGTATACAAGGTTGGCTGGCATCTGCCGCATCACGTACTTCAACACGGAACCCACTCCTAAAGCCGAATGATGTCTACAATAAATCTGACCTAATCTCAGCCACCAAGTCATACTGACATACTACATGTAACTGTATTTATGTTTGTGGATCAGTTCCCAAACCTCAGATTTATTATAAATGCGGCTGGATTAAATCACAACACTAAAAAGGGCGATGTACTTTTTCGTCATTTTATTGCACCGCGGTTCTGACAGTTAGTGTCAAAACGTGCCTTCGAATATTGCTTGCAGAGTTATTTCTACTTCTATCAATTTCGATGAAGAAAATGGTGCATCTGTATCATATGTCACGAAGGCTCGACCGAGTGCTCAATATCCATTTTGAGCAGTCATCGGAGATGTCTGAGGATTCGGAAAAGAGGAATGCAATCCAATCAGCATCGAGCTGCCGCGACTAACGAGACTGAACCGCAGACGCGAAAAAGATCCGATAATATTCTCACGATACCATACCTTTCCAAATTAGCTATATTGTAGTTTCACAACATGACATCATACTTATATTATGATAAAACCTTGGTATCAAAAAATAGTAGCACAATGCTTCACATATAATAATATCCATGTATAAACAAAAACAAAATATATTTTCAATAGAGTTCCAGCTTTGAAATAGAGACATGACCCATAAAATGTGTTCGCTCAAATAAAAACAATGCCCAGCTTGTGTCTAGCTGAAGATATATGACAGTCCAGATGGTAACACCCATAATTACCATGTGAAAAAGTGTGTGTGTGTGTATATATATATACACTGATTTATTGATTGATTTGGGACAGGGTGAGGGCGCCCATGGCATTTTTATCCAGTTGTTGCATGCACAGAATGCGTAAAAAAAATTCCAAAACAAACAAAAACACACGACAGAGGGGGAAACGATATGGAAGGAGGGGGCATTAAAAAAAAAAATGGGGGGGGGGGCAGTGCACAGCAGGTTTGTGACCACAGCAGCCTGAAGAGGAGGAAGAAGAGGAAGAGGAGGAGGAGGAGGAGGAGGAGGAGGAGGCGGTGGCGGGAGGAAGACCAGCCAGGCAGCAGTGTGGCTGCAGACGTCGAGAGAAGGAGCGGAAGAAGGTAGGACACCTTGTTTCATGTTTTTAGCCTTTTTAACGCCATCAACACGAGCCAGATGGAACACTCCCTCATCCCTTCATCCCTCTGTTTTCCCTTTTTTTGTGTCCTCCATCTGCCGGCGAGAAAGAGCGGCGTGATACTGCACAGGGAGGATGAGGGACTGAGGCTAGGGTGGAGGAGTTAGCGGGGGATGGGGGAGCGGCAATATGTCAGCGGGGAAGAGGGTGCAGTAGTTTCGCGCCGTGTTCACGGGGGTGCAAGGACCACTCCCTTCTGTCAGGGACCACCGTGATCACGATTGATGATGACGACGGTGAGGACGATGAGGCGCAAACAAGAGGATTAGCTTCATTCGTGACATGTGTTCACGATACAAGCTGTTTACATTTGCACAAAATGCCGTAGCACTGTAGTTGTATCGAAGAGTGACATCATACCGTCACGATACTTTGTCGATACACGTGACAAAGAAGGTGTTTTCAACATACTTGACCTTTAAGCTGAAGCTACAACGTCACAATATCCTAAAAACTATTCAGATACGATCACGATACTTTGTCAACGTCACATTACAATCAGAATTACGGTATCATCATTATACACATGTATATATGTCTGGACTGTATAGAATATGGAAAGATGTTCAGCTAGCATTACGCTCAAATTCATGTTCCTTCTGGAAGTTCCTCAAATGACTGAAATTAGTTCATTAGCCTTTTTTAGGGAGGTGTGGGAGAGAAGTGGTTGCTCTGTAGAATTTTTCCTCTGTCCTGCGAGGGATGTACTATACAATAGCTTGATGTGTTTTGCTGGATCCACATTATGATCATTGGGCCTTGGTGGAGGTCCTTGTTGGTATTCACATCACTACTTTTTTTGTGGGGGGGAGGGAGGGTGATTATTTTGGGACAGATCGTGAAAATCTGATGTCCAATCATATGCCTTGGTGAGTGCCATCATGTTTGTGTGATCCGCCCGCTAAGCTGTTAATGAGATTTGAGTGCAGAGTACATTTTTGTTGGATCGCTACCCAGAGAGTGTCTGAGTCTATTTGTGGAGCTGCTGACGTAGACGTCCTGGCATATTTTAATATGGGCATTTCACTGTATGGGCCATATCAAAACAAGAGTCCTTCCATTTTCTCAAACCAACCAAACCATCCCAGCTTCAAATCTCACATTTTAGATTAAAAAAAAATCTACATTTCAGTTCAGCATCAGCTCTTCAGCATTAAGACATGCATTTCTATGTGTTAATCTTTTTCATATTTCCACTTTGTGAAAGTTAAGTGTGACCAAACCTGGTAGGTTTACTCCTCCTCCTCACCTGGAGGATCCATGAAAGAAGCCATGCCGGTGCTCACAGCAGGAGCAGGTGAGATGAGACCCTTGATGTCATCTCGGCCGGCTCGATCATGTTCCTTAATCCTCTTCCTCCTCGACGTTGTCGTCCTCTTAGGGCTCCACGAGACATTGGCCCTGCTCACCTCACAGCTGAGGCCCGATGCCAACCACAAGGAGGACATGGTCTTCCTCAAGGATGTCTTCAGCGAGAGAAGCTTGGCGTACCTGATGAAGGTGAGGAACATTATTAAGAACTGACGCTGTACCTCCACTGTATCATCATAGCCTGGTGTCCATTCACCAGCACGTTGAACATTTTTTTTTTCTTGAACACGTTGCTCTTTTTGTCAAGTGTGATGCCTTGCACCGGTGCATACATTGAAGCCTTGAATAAGCACGACCTGTAACTCTTTATCATAGTTATCTTATGTTATTTCCATAAGTTTTGGGACTGACTGGGCTAACCTGGGATCTCGGGGAATGCATTTCGTGCCATGTCACGATTCACGTGGAAATGCGTGTTGGTTAGCGCACGTCCATCGGTAGCAGCATTTAAACGAAACCAATAAATGAACACATCACTCTTTAAAATTGCTTCGCTACGTTAGGGTACAGTTGCCAATGTGAAGTAAAAATATTTTGAGTAGCAAGTACACGTATTTAAACGTATTTGCGAGTATGAAACGTACTCGCAAGTACACTCAAATATACTACCAAGTACGTTTGAACCAAGTACAATATCACTGCGCGTTTTAATGACACCATAGGTAGTTGCGATTGAACTCTATTCATATAACTCGTTCATACATTGGGGGCAATTTGTGCCTTTGGGTAGAGTCTTACCTGTGTAAATGTGTTTCCACGGGTTTTTGGTGTGAATATTCGTTATTTGAAGGAAATCACACCTGGAGTGGATGCGAGTTGCTGTTCGCATTTCAATGGGTTCCTCCATTGACTGTTGCATTTGCGTGCGCGATTTTAGCATATGTTGTCAAGGATTTTTTTGTTATCCTCTTTGTTTTGTTTACTTTTGCAGTAAACTCCAACTCGTGTGTCACCCCATTTGCGTGCGCGATTTTAGCATATGCTGTCAATGATTTTTTTGTTATCCTCTTTGTTTTTTTTACTTTTGCAGTAAACTCCAACTCGTGTGTCACCTTAAAGCACGCTCAGAGACGGCAGAATCACATACGCCGAACACCTGCCACTCAATCAACACGGTGCATTCATGGTACTTTGTCAACGTCGGCGGTGCATTCAGCGTACTTTCACAACGTCGGAAACTTGTAAACGCACTGCGTCGTTTTGCACAATCATCGTTTTTCTAGATAATGTTTTAAAGATCAAGAGAAACCAAAATCTAAATCGTAATTTAAATTTCGATTAATCGTCCCGCTTTTTTGTGCCACAGTTAAAAGACCTATACAAATCTAATGAACTATTTCTGTTCTATAGCACTCTAATATTCCATATTTACATCACATAAAATGCTCTACGCAACTCCAATGTGGCATATGATTTAACATTTCTGTTCCAGATCCATGAGAGGTTGAGACAGTATGAGAGACAAAGTCCAACTCCTGTCCTGCATAGCGTCTCCTCTCTAGCCGAAGACGTAAGTCGATTAAACACTCACACATGGCCATGGAGGCGCACGTACACAATAATAATAAAGGACATAATAATGTCCTTGGCGGAGGTAATAACCCTGAGTGGTCTCCAGCCAAGAAGCATTACAAGAACTGTTTGAAAGCTGTAAAAAAAAAAAAAAAGTGCCGAGTCATCTCCAGGCACATCTCATTCAGGGGCCAGCATCCTGCAGCCCAGGCAAAAGTGCTGACCTGGTCCCCGCTCACCACTCACAGCCCCACTCAATTCTGAGTGAGCTTGGCGGGAAGCCCATTTGTGTGTGCTTGTGACTGACAGGTGACAGAGGAAATGCAGAGTCGCCCAATGAACACGGAGGAGCGGGAGCTGCTGCAATTGCTGACATCACCGCATCTCAAAGTAAGACACCTGTCATTAGTCTCCTCACGTGTCAATCATAGATGCACTTTTTGTCGTTGTAATTGAAGTCGCGGTGTTGTGGTACACTGCCAGGCCCTTCTGTCCGTGCACGACACGGTGGCTCAGAAGAGTTTCGATCCCGTCCTGCCGCCGCTGCCAGACGACTACGATGATGACCTGGAGGAGGAGTCGGTGAAGATTGTGCGCCTGGTAAAGAACAAAGAACCTTTGGTCAGTGCTGACGCGTACCAAAATTAAAGATGGTGCAATCAGGAGTCACACAGATCGGATTTTAATCGCATACCGCGTGTGTGCCGACACCTCAGGGCGCCACCATCAGGAGGGACGAGGCCACTGCGGCGGTAATTGTGGCTCGTATCATGAGAGGGGGCGCAGCGGACAGAAGTGGTAAATTGTGAAGTGACCCCTTCCCCTAACATTAACCCTTCTAGCCTCCAAGCTTAATCATTATCCCTCACCTTACACTGCTAACTTCTAAACCTAACCTATGCCTATCTCTTAACACGATTACAACACTAATTCCTAACCATAACCCCTACCACTATTCCCCATCCCTCCATCCTAACCTCAAACACAAAACCTAAACCCGAGTTATCTGTGATCCCCAATCCGAAGAATCCCTTTTTTTAGAAAGCCAATGCTCATCTAATCAAGAGGCATTTTTTTTAGCAACTTGTTTGTTTTGCACATCACTGTCTAATTTTAGCACATTTTCTCTTTTTACAAATCTCCTGACAATTTGGAATGGAATTTGCATCCGAATGATTTGCCCATGCCTCCGTTATTCATCCGATTGCTGTTTTTTGTAGCTAATTTTGGAAGCCAACTGACGATAATGACGATACTGCTATCGAATGATAAAAGACACAGAGATGCGTTTGAAGGTGAAGACGGCTAAAGAATCAAAAGAAAGATCCATATGTTACAATACGCCATCGAGTCTCCCGAGGATTTAGCAACTTGGATTTCGTTGCAGCAAAGAGACCATACAGAGATGTCAACGTAAATAGATCAATCCCACCGAGCACCCCTCTGGGACTGATTTTTGTTTTCTCTTCGCTGTCATCTTTGTGGTTCTTTGCAGGTTTGGTCCATGTAGGAGACGAACTCAGGGAAGTCAACGGCGTCTCGGTGGTCCACAAGAGGCCCGACGAGATCAGTCAGTTGCTGGTGAGTCAAAACGGATGGATGGTCGTGTTTCCCTCTGATTTGAATAATTCCTTCTTCGTCGACCCATCCAGTCACAGTCGCAGGGCTCCATCACTCTGAAGATCATCCCTGCGATTAAAGAGGAAGACCGACTGAGGGAGAGCAAGGTGAGGCTCCGTGACGGGTAGCTTGCCAAAGAGCTGATTTATTCTCACTTGCGCTTTGGCAAGATAAGGCCCAATTACACCACACGGCCCGGTCAAGCTCCAATAAGACAAATGTTGGTATTTCAACTTATTATACGTAAATTTCTACTGGACCCAGGTGTACTTGAGAGCCTTGTTTGACTACATCCCTTTGGAGGACAAAGCTACGCCATGCCAGGAGGCCGGTCTTCCCTTCAAACGTGGCGACATCCTGCAGGTGGTGACCCAGGATGACCCTACGTGGTGGCAGGCCAAGCGAGTGGGTGACAGCAACCTGCGTGCTGGACTTGTCCCGTCCAAACACTTCCAGGAGAGGTAAGCAACCGTGTGAATTATTATGTGCTTTCTTTGTAGCCTAAGCTTTGCTGCACTGCTGTTATTTATCATGGCCGCCTCAACGTAAAAATACCTAGGGAATAAGGTATTTTTAAAAAAAAATGCCCCAAATGCTTCTCCCTTTTTTCCTCCTCACCAGGCGGTTGGCATACAGGATGAAAGTGGGCACACTCCCCAATCCCAAGTCCCCCAAAACGCCTTCCTGTAAGTTTCCCATACCTTTCATAAATATGACCTAATAATGACATGAATGAATCCTTATCTGTCACGATGACTGCTTAAATAGGTCACTTTCCCGCTTCCTTATGGTGGTCCATTGGGGGTCTATGAACATGCAGCCAGGTGTGCGGTGGCTCAATCCGTGTGGGTTGGGGGTTGCGGGAGAGCATGAGATGTTCGCTAGCAGGCGATCCGATTATGTGCAGCAGTGAGGGGGAGGCCACCGTGGCTTAGTAACATGGCAGCTACCCTCTGCCAATCTTAATTCCCGCTCCTGCCCCAGCTGGGGGGCCTGACCGCTGCTTTTCCCCCACTCGTGACTTTTATCCCCTAAAATCCAGCATATGGCAATTTGGATTTTTGTCACATCAAACAAAGTATCAACAGAAGTTAACCAGTCCAACACAAAATAAAACAACATATAACAGAGTCAAGATTTTTTTTTTTTAGACATACATTAATCTGTTAAAAACACACTCAACTCATTTGCGAGCGGCTAGCATGAGAAACTTACCGAAACGCTACGATGCTGAACGACTTGTCTGAGGCATAGTTTTCAGTCCTACATGAATCTGTAAAAACAAACAAAAACAAAACAAAACCAAAAAAAAAAAAAAAAAAGCTTCATTCACTTGTTAGCTAGCGGCCATTGCAAGATGCTAACACAGTAATCAACATCACCACCAGTCATCACCCGACAAAATTAAACAGGGCTAAACGCATTCCATGAACTGAAGCCCAAATGTGTCCGTCTAACATAAAGCTGCTTAAAACAATAAAACAGTCGTAGTTTGGACAAAATTATAATGTAAGACTGCCTGTCCGCGCACTAGAAACCAACCAAAATCACCTTCATCTCAGACTAGCATAGTGACACCACTTATGTACTGTATGTTGTTGTTCTTCTCATATATTATATGTTGTCTTCTTTACTGTCTCAGACGATCAAGCGTGCGATAAAGGTGAGTACAAACGCAATCGTCATGGCTTTAAAGGCAAAGGCATGTTGGCGTGCATATTTCCACACCGATTTGCGTCTAATCCCTCACCCCACCTAAATAATAGTGTGTAATAATATTGTATAACGGGGTGTGTGTGTGTGTGTGTCATAGTCTACTTTCATGATGTCACAAATGAGCGTACAGAGTATCGCCTAGATAAGGGGAAGGAACAACTGCGGAGTAACGATACTGCAATCATTTTGATACTGCCACAAATCTACGCCGCTCGATAACTGGTAGATGGCAGGAAATACATCACAATGTCTACGAACGTGAAGAAGGAAAAGTTGGCACATGTCAAAAAAATGCTCGACCTTATGCATATCGCACGGTATCGTTACCTGATACTGTATCACCATATCGTTTTGGAATGTGGGAGGAATTCAAAGAACCTCGGAAGTGTGAGGTAGATGTGCTTCCCACTATTCCATTGTGCTACCAGATGTCATACACGTCATATCGATGTTATCCCACCTGAAACTGGGTGTAGATGATTTTTTTCAGCGTTGTTTGGGTGAAGTCGCACCATCCCGAAAATTTTCCATTCTGTCTTTATTATTCCAATCCCGCCTCCTCCGAATTGTTTCCAAGGTGCCCTCCACCCGTGTTGCTCACCCATCCCTTCTTTTCCCTGCTTACCTCTCTACAGACGACTGTGACTGTGAGGGCTATTTCAATGGACAGTACATAGGTGAGAGCGCGTACACTCTGCTAATCTTGCTCGTCATGGCACTTGGCTGGTTCCCCCGATGCAACGGGCCCTGGGGGAGGTCCCGGATGTTTGGCTGCAAGGGTTGAGGGTTGCTGTTGGAGGGTCCAGGATTAGAGTGCTAGATGGATTCAAACCCAGTTTCCACCAAACAATTTCTGGTGTTTGTACCTTAGCCCTTTTTCGGACGCTTGCATTAAGGTACCGAGCGCGCGGGTAGAATATCAAATGATATTGATTGGTGGAAATTGGTTCCTGATGTGTGGCCTCAAGCTGGTTTCTTATCAGACAATCAGAGGAAGTGTGAAAAAAGGAACCCGACCGGTTCCTCATCAGGTGGTTTTGGAACTTAACCATATGATGTATAATTTGGAGAAATAATCTGCTTTGAATTTGACCGTGTGAATGGCAAATAGTAAAAGATACGGGTGAGATATTTTCACACCGCAGACTCACTGACGAGCCCCGTTGAAATCAATACAGGATTTTTTGTGTGAATGGCACAGGCGAACCAAAGTGCTGACAGGCCAATTTTGCAGAAAGTAAAAACTACACATCAATCCGAACTTTTCATTATTCCCCTTTTACAGCTGCCATGTTGCATCTGAGAGTACCTTTCACGCAGACCACTGACACATGCAAATAGGCGGGTATGGCCGACAATGAACCATCCTCGTATGCCTGTGATACTACTACGGAAATGAGGAAAAGTTACAAGCCCGCTTTGTATCTCACATTCCCAATTAATCTTTTTGGTAAAGGCCCTCCGAATAGTTTCCAAGTTGTAGTACTGGTAATACTGATCAATATGAATTGATATGAACAGAGCTACAATGATGACCACAATAATAAAGGCACACGGCGGAGAATAGCACAGCGTGACAATGAAACGACGAGTCAATTGTTTCAAAAGTTATTGCCAAGCACAAAGACGTGATTTGAATTTCTTCCAAATTTGGGTATGCGTTGTTTGATAGCGCCGACCGCAGGCCAGGAGCTGGAATGTTGGGCTTGGGGTGAGTCCAAGAACATCCTGCTCACCGTTTTCCTCGTCTTAAGAGTGGGTAGGGGGGATTCCAGAAAAAAAAGCCAGCATTGGCGCACAGCGTGAAAGGGGCTCTGAACTCCAGCCCTTCCTCTGAAATGCCGCCCCCTCAGCCAAACATGAGCCGTCCGCTTCCCTCCATCCCGCTGGAATGCTCTCACTGGTAATGTCAAAACAGCCGGTAGCGTCACCTTAAACATTTGTGTTTCCGGTACATTCAGCATCCCGCTTGGAGCCGTACGCCACCCCTTTGCCGCTACCACCACCCAAAATCCCACCCTTAACCACCACCCCACGAGGGCCCTCCTGCCACGTTGGACGCATTGCGCACTCTTAACAGGCACGTCTGCTGCTCGTTCACCTTCCTGGTGTGCACGTGTGAGGCTAAGTGGGGTCAAGCTCTAACACCAGTTGTAGTCTCTCCTAAGCGTAACGCAGTGATGCCCTCCTGTGGTCAGGTGTTTTCCTGGGAATTTTATTCAGGTACGGTGGCCGGCTTCCCTTGGGTGTGTAGTCTGCCGTCCGGATGACAGACGGACCCGACTGTGGGGTGGGGCCCAGGGTCGGGTCCATCTGTCCTGTCTCAGCCCTGTAGCTTTAGTTCTATGACAGTGGTTCTCAAACTTTTGACATCGCAGTGCCACCTCCCAAAAAAAAAAAAAAAAAACGCGTGGGTCTTTGAATAGCACCATAATGACAAATATTAATAGACTGTAACATAACAGGCAAAATGATTCATTAAAAACGAGGAAGAGATTTCATTCGTAAAATGTTATTGCGCACCATTGTAATATTTAAGAATTCTTGGCACGCTTAAGTAGAGGGAATTCAAAAAAGCTCTTGAATAATGAATCAATGACAATGTATATCGTACACAAAAGTACAAACAAAACACATGAATAAACGAGTTCTAAAAGATGTATTGGACTTTAATGTTAAATACAACTGAACTGTAATTTACAAATGAATGAAGATTGACGAGTTTAAAAAATGTTGAAAATCTCAATATGCACATTTTGAACATTTAATTAATCAACCATTAGAGGGAAGAAGCCAACCGAACTTTGAGAATCACTGTTCTAAGACAATACCGCATTCGGTATCGAACCGGTTCAAAATGCATGGATATGAGTAGCAATTTTCAAGTGTTTACACTTTTTGTGCGGTGCTCATCTTACCCTTTTTTTTTTTTTTCCATGCCATCTGTTTCTGTCACCCCGACCATTTCCGAATCAGCCGGCCTGCGCAGGAGCTTCCGCCTGAGTCGGAAAGACCGACAAGGCTCCTCAAGTGACGGCTCTGACCCGGGAGACTCTGAGTTCCTGACCTACGAGGAGGTGACCCGCTACCAGCAGCGGCCCAACGAGAGGCCTCGACTGGTGGTTCTGATCGGTAAAGCTGAGGGAAGACATTCAAGGAAGTTAAGTGGTGCCTTCGGGGACGGTTGAATTGAATGGGAATGTTTCTCATTGTCGAAGGTTCTCTCGGAGCGCGGATCAATGAACTCAAGCAGCGGGTGATTGCTGAGAACCCGCATCGCTATGCGGTGGCAGTACCACGTGAGTCTGCGCCTCCCCGAATCCAAATGTCTTTTCAGTGGGTCGAAACCATTTTATTGGTCATCTTGCAGATACCACCAGGCCCAAGAAACCTCATGAGAAGGAAGGTGTGGAGTATCACTTTGTCACCAAGCAGCAGTTTGACACCGATGTCGTCAACAACAAGTAGGGTTGCAAAAGTCCAGGAAATTTCAGAGTTGGAAACTTTCTATGGGAATTAACAGGGGGTGATGCAAATTAATGGGACTAAAATCGAAATTTCCAAAATTGAAGGTCGGCTCAATGAGCCTGTGCAAACTGTGCAGCCGCGTAGGGCGTCATTGTGGCAAAAATGTTACGTAAACTGAAATTGTGCAATGGCATGGCATATCTTGGAAAAAATATGCAGATGTTGCATGCATCTGATTCTGGTTTTCAGGTTCATCGAGCATGGCGAGTACAAGGAAAACCAGTACGGCACCAGTATCGAGGCCATCCGCTCCGTACAGGCCAAGAACAAAATGTGCATCGTTGATGTTCAGCCTGAGGTATCTGCAAGTGTTACTCGTGCTCATACAACCGCAATCGTCCTTGGAATAAATTATTCCGATGTTTTTTTTTTTTTTTTTTTTTACCTGATGCTGCAGGCCTTGAGAAGGCTACGGACGGCGGAGTTCAAGCCTTACGTGGTTTTTGTCAAACCCCGGGTTCCTGAAAGTAGACGGCGACGCACCACAGCGACCTCGCCGGGAGGGGCAGAGCAAGGCCGCATTACGGTGAGTTTCCCGAAGCAGTTCCTTCATGAAATGATGAGCCAGATACTCAAGTTTGTCATAATAGCTTCGATCAACAGCTCAAGTCAGAACATGGTCTTACCTTCCTCTCTCTCTGTCCCCGGTGTCAACCCAAAATTAATTTCCTTGGTAGATCAGAGAGTTTCCAACACAGGTGTATGACTCCTTTGGATTTTCCTTCACAGGACGAGGATCTCCAAGAGATGCGCCAGTCCGCCATCCAGATGGATCAGCAGTACGGACATCTGGTTGACCGGGTCCTGATCAAGGAGGACTCCGCCAGTGCCTGCACAGAACTGCGGAGTATTTTGGAAAGACTGGAGCGTGAGTGTTTCTGGGTGCCTCTCAGCTGGGTCCGGACCTAAAAAAAAAAAAAACACTTCACATACCGCCATCCTCCTCGGACTTGAGGGTCTCCTGCACTTGCCATGCAGGACTCGGCGGGGAACTGAATCAAAATTGCAAAAATCTGCCACTTCCTGAACGCCACATCTATCAGGTTTGCTTTGAAGAACTGCTTAATGAATTGCTGCCTGGCATGAAGGAGCACTCAGCTTTACCACCACTCCAGTTGGAGTCGATCAAGTAGCATGTTTTGTAATGAATAAAGATAACAAACGGAATGCTTCCCGGAGACTAAAAAAATACAACAACAGAATGTGACATATGTTTATTTTTCCACACGCTTCTTTTAAAGGAACTGCATGTCTACTTGCGTATTTAATGTAAATAATGTACATGTGACTCCTGGTGTGCCAACGACAAAGTGTTTACCTTGGCGTCCCTTGGAGCCTGCACCTGTTTGTATGGATGGAATAATATTTTTTTGCCGTTTATTTTAATATTTTACTTGAACAGCTCAAGGTACGGATGAATATTAGTGACGAATGCTAATCAAAAAGTGATGACTAAATTGCATCTTGTCCTGAAAAAAAAAAACATTTTAAGAGTATTTGGATGAACTGTAATTGTGGCTGCCTCACAGGTTATGAACATTTTTAAACTTGTTATGGTTGGTTTCATTTGATGATACATAAAATAATGATGCTCACATTCTGAAAATGCAATAAAATCTGACAAACTGGATTCTTTATTTTTGGTTGGTATGCTAATTTGCTTTAAAAAAAAAAGGTAACTTCACGGCAAATATAACATTTGTTTTGGTCTTCAAATGCTGTAATAGGACAAATGGAAGACTCAAAGTTATTTGGGATGTGTAAACATGTAAAAAGTGCCATAATAAATAAAAAGAAAGCTATTGAAGGCTAAGTCTGCTGATTAATTTGCTTTTCATCTGATTATCTGTAAAAACCTACAGACTACAATGATGTCATATTCTCTTTTGCATCGTAAGATTTTTTGCACATACTGTATAAGTGTCACAAATGACTTTGTGCATGTTTTTTTGTGGGGTGGCGGTGAACATCAAGTATTGAAAATGGCTTTGATGCAATGTTTACTGTTGAAAAAACATTTCGTTTTTTTTTTTTTGGGAGAGCCCTTGTGAAAAGCACCGCATGCCTCCCCGCACGCATGTGGAGAACATTAAAACTCCACACAGGAGGGCCGGGACTTGCAATCGAACCACTGTGAGGTGGACAGTGCTAACCAGTTGTCCACCATGTTGCCATGAGAGAACTTCATTTTTGAAATTAATGACAACAGAGTAAAAAAGTAGTAGTAGCAAGGAACCACCACTGGAGGGCACTAGCACAACAAGAGAAGGCTCTTTGCATGTGGGTGAGAAGGACACAGTTGGTATCAGACCAGCAATACACCAACATATTTTGGGCTGCCTCAAGTTCAGGCTTATTCTCACAAGGGTCAAAGGCGTGCTGGAACCAATCTCAGCTGTCTTACGGCAACCCTGAACACCCTGAATTGGTGGGCAACCAAAAGACACATCATGGGAAACGCCATAGATGGGCTAACACACGTGAACGACGGGGTGGCATTATAACACAAACAGTGCAGCAACAGACGTAGACAGAGAATACGAACAAAAATGTATTATTTATCCTCTGTCTACTGACTCACTTACAGTAGTTGAGTCAAACTGTTTTGTCTTCATGACTGTTATACTGCCACCTGGTGGCCCACTTGCCATGAATGATGATGATGCAAACAATAAGTAATTCTTTGAATTTATTAGATTATGTTAGCACTATTTTTTCATAAAGCGGAATTTCTGGCATTTCAATTTTAAATAGGGAAAGATAATTTGAGATACAACTGTTTTCAGTTGGTCGCGAAAAGAATAAATATTGCATCTCAAGGCAACACCGTATTTTCCATTTATGTGACAGCGGTTAAGCTATTTATTCATTTTTTTTAAATTACGTACATTTGCTTGACAGTGAATTCTGGGAAAAGGTTACACATTGCCTGGATAGTTAATGAAGGTTTTGTAAAAACCAAAAAAAAACCACCAACCACAGACAAATACATCACCAAAGAGAAGACAACTGTTGCAAAAAGTGTCATTTAATGGTTTCACATTGAAAACACACGCCACCCCCCCCACCCCCCACCCCCACACACACACACACACACGCACGCACACACAATCTTACACACTCAATGTTGGCGCTGCGGCACAAAAACGACGCCCGAGCACGGCGAGCAGTTCCGAGTGGAGCAGACGCGGCAACACGAGGCGGAACACGTAGATGGCGGCTTTCAAGCGCAGTGGATGGGAAAAAGCCAACCCAAAAACAAACCCCCCCCCAAAAAACGACAACCAAAATCCTAATTAAAAGTGCAGTGATGAATTCATTCCTAACGAGATGGGGAAAAAAAAACAATCACAAATATGACAAAAAATGTCCAACTGCAGTGTTGCAAAATTGAGCTTTATCTCAGTACTGAGGGGCGGAGTCTTCGTAAAAGCTCAATAGCATCCTCCATTTTTTTTTTTTTAAACGTTCCAAAATCCTATGATATGCCGCGAAAGCAAATGTGAGTCGAAAAAACACACATATTTACATGATCATCACCGCTTCCGCGGAAAAAAAAAATGTCAGGGCTATTATTGGGGTGGGGACAAATGGTGAAACGTTGTCTGGGAACTTTTGGTTAAATACGTCATCACCATACAACATTTTGTTCCACTGCCAGTCATCAAGTGACAGTGAAGTGTGAGTCGCACACCCCACTTTGAGTCCCGTCGATAACCGTGGAATGTGGCATGCTGTTCAAGTTCCTCTCGGGGCGTGCTCACACGAGACCATCAGAACCACGCGTGGGGCCCACTTGAGACCCAAAGTCCGGTACACTTGGACTTCCCTGCAGGCTCAAAATTAATTCGTGTCGTGCTTCCTTGCCTGTTTTTCTGGATAACTGGACCTTGCATAATAGCAATGAAATATGACAACTCTAAATAACACATAAAGTCAAAAGGGTAAGAACACATGCAATGTACATGTAATGCCAAAGTACATGTAACCCCTCGCCAGTTATTGACTATACCCACCAATGTGCACAACAGGAACCAGCCGAACGACTAGAAATAATCCATACAGTCAAAAAAATGTGAATGCGCAATCTACGCTTCTAATGCAATTGCTCCAACCACGATAGCCGCCACCTTGTACAATAGAAATAAACCGAGTGACTAGAAATATTCCACGGCAAAAAAAACCCCCACTGCACACTCATCACGCTGGGCACATGCACGTGTCATTTGATGAATGCACTTGCTCGTCTCGCCAGTTATTCATCATAACACCTTCTTCCACTCTAGAAATCAACACAACGCGTAGAAATAATCCACAATCAAAAAAATAAAATAAAAGGCCACTCAACTCTTGGTAGACAGTTATTCTGAGCTGCCACTTTGCACAATAGAAATAAATAGCGACTTGAAACAATGCACGTCGAAAAAAAATTCCAATGCACGCTTTTCACGCATGGGGACATGCACGTGTCATTTGAGTGATGAGATTGCCCTCTTGCCAGTTTTTTTGTCATAACTGGCTCTTTGCACTGTAGAAATCAATAGAATGACTGGAAATAATCCACTATAAAAAAAAGGCTTCTCAACAAATGAAAATGTCCAAGCATATTATTCATGGTATAGCTTCTGTCGACAGTTATTTTTGATATCCGCCAGCATAGAAATCAAGTCAACAAAGTCCACAGCATGCCAGTCACATGCAAGGTGTGTCATATGACTAAAATGATTTGCTCCTGTCACCAGTTATCAGTGAAGAGAATAAAAATCAAAAGATGGCCTGCATGTAATCCATAGTCCAAAATGTCGATTCATAACTCGGCTGTGCACAAAAATGCCATATCACAAGATTCATGCCATGGCGCCTCTCGCCAATTATTTCTGATAACTGCCGCCTGGCAACACAGAAATCAAAATAATGACAAGAAATAATCAACTAAGTCAGAAAGTTGCAGTATTTTGGCACGTCTGGCATGGCCTAGTGTGAACACGCCCTTGAGTGGAATGATCCAATATTAAAAGTGCAACAAAAATGTTTCTTTGCGGTCTTGATTGGCCGATTTTCTCTTTCCTTTGTCCAACAAAAATGAGTGATCAGTCACCCCATTTAAAGCTGAAACGGGAATCCAGGGTTGACGCTGCACATTCATCACGTGGGCACATTATGAGTGACACATGCGCTTTGGTGGCTCCCAAGTCTTTTTTTTTGTTTGTTTTGTTTTTGCTTTTTTTGCACTGAGCCACCAATGGATGCTACTCAGGTGTGTCTCTCCACACTTGGCCAGCCCGTCCGACCTCATTTGGCACCGCTGAGGCTTAAGACACTTTTTAGCGCCTCGTGATTGGCTGTCCTGACAATGGGTGGAGGGGGAGGAGGGGGGAGGGATGATTGGGGCGAGGCGAAGGGGCCTCAGCAGGCGATCTCCTCCAAAGTGCCCAGCGTGGCCTGCAGGGGCACGGCCACGCTGTTGCCCATGGACTCCGAGTGGTTGGCCACCGGATCACAGGAAGTCTAAGAAAAATGCACCCAATATTTGATTTCATTCACCAAAAAAAACAAAAACAAAACAAAAAAAAAACATCAAGAAAGAATATAAAAATAATTCACAAAAAAATCATCAAAACTAATTTTTTCAACAACAGCGTTTTCAAAAATGTGCGAAACAAACAGCAGTGCTAAAAAAAGCCCCAACCACATAAAAACAAACATTAAATTCAAAATAAATAAAAATGTCATAGAACTGAAATGTGATTTAATTTAAAAATACATAATTTAGCGGTGTTACAGTTTAATTGACAGAGAACATCATGACTTATTTTTATGGTAAAAAGATAAAAGGCAGATACCAGCCCCTGCACTACCCAGAAAAAAAAATAATGATGGCATTTTTGTAAAACAGTTTTCTAGTACGAAGATCAAAGAACTCGACCTTGCAAAAACCAAACAAACAAATAAAATAATCCATCAAAAGGCTCAAAGGGCGCACTTACCACAGCCCCTCGGCGACCCTCCTCCTCGTCCTCTCGACTCAGGAGGTCCAATAGTCTGTCTCGTACCACCTGAAAAAAAAAAAAAAACGACAATTCAGATCGGACCATGCTTCTTCCCCTGCTTTGTTTCAACGGCGTGACTGACCTCGTAGGCGTAGTCAAAAAGCTCCAGGATGGTGAGGATGCTGGCCCCGATGAAGAGCCCCATCTGGCCGCCAATGTCACCTGTAAGGGGGCACAATGTGTTGACAAGGTCATAGAATTAGTCGTATTATTTCCACTATCATTATTTTTATTATTACTGTATGAATGCCAATGAGCATTCTTCTTCCACTTTTGTCTCCCCATTCAAAAATCAAAACACGTCTTCGGCACTACTTTTCACATCTAAAAAAGTTGACGTGTAAAAAAAAAACAAAAAACAAAATATCCTGTACCCAAATTCACAACATTAAATACAAATATGAATTATTAATATTATATAAAATTCCCAAATATTTTACACAATCACCTCTTCCACATTTCTTGGATCGACTCAAACATTCCAACTTCACGTCTCACATTCTTTGTTATCACAATTCAATTATTTCCACATTTCACTTCGCCGCACAAACTGTATTCCGTAGTTCTTGTTATTACCCAGCAGGCCCGCCACCTCGTAAGCTTTCTTCTGCTCGATGGTCTCGTAGTTGAGAGCCTCGAAGAACACGTCCAACACCAAAATGTTATCTCTGCGAAAAACAACAACGTGGCATGAAGATCGACGGCTCCCGCGACGCGACCACAAAACATGCTCGCGTGCGGTGCGATGTCCGAGGTGTGGGCGTACGCGATGTACTTCTCCGACTTGTTGAACTTCTTCTGCAGGTAGCGCGCCGAAGTCTTGCTGGGTATCTTGACCATGGAAAGCTCTTTGTTGTAGCGCGTCACATTGCACGGAGTGCGGCACATGCAGTTGCTGCTCTCCGTCGCAGACAGCTTGGCTAATGACCATGATGAGGATGATGATGATGATGATGATGATGGGTTGGTGACGGTGAAGGGCACGGAAGAGGACGTTATCTAACGCAAATAAGGTCATATGATATTCTGTGTTCAGTATGACTCTTTTTGAGGCTTTTTATGATAATATACTGTGCTACATAAAAATGTATAAAACAAACAAATCAGCTAGCGTCCTTACCAACTAAATCCGACCAACACTAGCACCTTCCAAATCAACCAGTCCACAAATCTACAAAAACACGCTTCCCGTCCACATACCTGTCAACTTTTCGGAGTGCCAACCTGTATAAACTACCAAAAAAATCCTTATAAAGAGCAAAAAATCCTTATAACATCCCAAAGCATTTTATATGTCAAAATAACGGCAGAAAAAAACCCACGAAATATGAATGATATATTTGTGTTTCCTTGTAGAACTTGCTTGTACACTACCGAAGTATGCAATGAATACTCTGCTGTTTTCAACTAGAAACCACGTGATTTACTGGAAAGTTACCGGAAATGAAAGCATTCGAGGAGACTAGCACCATTCTGGGCAAAAGCAAACGGAACTCCCTGTTAGGGAAAAAAAAAAAAAAAAACGGAAATTTTCAGAATCCGTATGATTTGTGTGATATGGCCATATATGTAAGATTCACCACAAAATCCGTATGAACTATGGGTAAACCGTATAAGTTGACAGGTATGCGTTCACCACCACTCTACCAATTAACCAACCGAACTCACCCAACAGCTAACCAGGCCCGCCAAAATCGATGCCACCCAAATGATAGTTTCTGTACATTTAGGTGTGATGAGGCCTTTTGATCACATCGCGCGTCTGTGACAAAAGCCGACTTTCCCTACTGAGTCGTGACCAAACCAAGCAAGCCATCAAGCTCGCAATATCTTCCGCCAAATGAGCTGCGGCAAAGCGGTGAAGCCGCAAAAGTAGATCGCTCCTGAAGACCGGATCAGGCAAAGAATAATCCACTGAGACCAAACCTGTGTCATATTATGACTTCTAATGCTCATTTAATGAGACTGTTTTGTCACGTTGGCTCATCGTCTTGGGGGTAATAACGCAATTTGTCTGCATTGGAAGTCATCAAAGTGTCCTTTTAAACTTTCAAGTCGGAAAGCGGAAACGCTTGATGAGTCGAGCAACACATAATCTCCTCTGACAAGTTGGAGACAGGTGCTTTTTTTTATTTGATCTCTCTGGTTGGAACAATCTCCAACTTTTACACACTTTTTTCGCTGTGGCAAAATTGCCTTTCACACACTGCGACTGTGCACTTTCACACGGCGGCGTGGCATCGCGCAATTAGGGGGACGGCAACAATTTCCACACACACGCCAGGGGCGCGAGAAGTGACAGTCGGGCGCGCGTCCCGCCTCCGTTGCTCAAAAAAACGGTGGCGCGGCGAGATCACGTGACTCACCGAGGGCGGGCTCAGCGCAGTCTTTGTACTGCTCGGGTGTGCAGTAGGAGGCGTCACCTGTCAAGAAGACCATCTTGAGTAAAGATGTCAACTGATCTTAACTTTTAGTCGCAGGTGATGGAATGCGTTCGGTTTTGGGCGGGGCGCCTACCGGGCATGTGCACCATCCTGCAGTTGCAGTTCTCCACAATGTAGCGTGTCTCACAGTCGATCCGGCAGGCGGTCACGCTGTACACCGGGAAGAAGCCCGACTCCAGCGTCTTCGACTCGCACTCGCCCCAGGGCGGAGGCAGGAAGGTGAGCTACAAGGGAGGAAGAAAATGTTTTAAAATGTCACCTTTCCGACAGTACGTTAGGATTTATAAAAGAAATTTAGTTGGAAGCCCTTAAGTGGCACAGGGAAATAAACATGGATGAACACAAGATTGTGGCTCGACATGCTATTTTTGGGCTACAGATTAAACACCGCGAGTTAGCTGAGCCAAACAATTTCACAGTTGTACAGACACTTGACCAAATAATTCCTCCGGGTCTGACAAAGGAGGCAACACTCCAACACGCTGCGGTCTGAACAAGAAGAAGAAGAAGAAGGGTCAAACAACACAGCCCGAGTTGTCACGGACGTGCATTCCGCACGAGGGAGCGGCAACTACATTTTGTGGATGAAGCGCGACGCGACGGTGCCAGGTGAAAAGTGGGCGGCTGCCGGCTGGGATTGAATAGCGCGTCTGCTCTGCGCTATCGGTCCAGACGAGCGGGAAGCCGCTCCAACATTCCGTTTGAAAGCAGCCAAGTGCGCGGAATGTTGCCGATTGCTGTGCAAGGCTGTGACGGATGATAAGAAAGCAGCCAGTGGAAGAAATGAATACTGACATCCCCGACGCTGGTTTAACATGCTTCTTGGCCATCCTCAACTTTTAAGTTACTCCATATGCCCATTAAGGATTTATCAGCCGCCGAGTCCGGTTGTCGCTAACCAAAACAGCAGTACATAAAACGGCTTCTCAGAGGAGTTAGGTTGTGTTGCGGTACAACTTCTATTTTCAGTGTTGGTGATGCCAAGATAACATTCATGTGGAGACTCGCACATGCCCTGTGGAGCTACACCCTACTTAGAGTTTCAAGTACAGCTCGACATAAATTGGTCATTTTATTGTGGTCAAAGCGGTCACTTTGAAATCTAGTCGCTGCAACACTGCGGGAATTTTTGCTCGATTTCATTTGACTAAGATTGTAATTAGTGCTGTCAAGCGATTAAAAAAAATTATGTGATTAATTAATTTGGGCTGTAATTAATTAATCTAATTAATCTACATTTTAATCTCATCTAAACATTACAGAGAAAAACCCTATTTTCATTTTAAATTCGTTACATTATGAGGCAGATCAAAAGATAAAATAAAAAGTGGCATTTTAAAGTATTTTATTGATTTTCAGCAGACTTGGACAGATGCAGTCCTAGCCATTTACTTTCTGCTTTATTTGAGACTAGTCAAAGTCCTGCAATCTTTAGTTTCGACCACGAGGGGGAATATCACTGTTTTGTTTGTTTTTGTAAATCTCCAAAGAATTACAAAATAAAAATAAAATTTGAACATCAGGGGTCCCCCATTAACTGCGAAAAACGAAGGATTACTGCATTCCAAAAAAATATGCCACTCTGACATGTAGCCGCTCCGCAATGTTGTGTGCATTCCGAGGAAGCTATGCCGCTCATGCTTTCCAATTTCACATCCCGGTATATGAAATTACAGCATTGTGAGAATATTATGATATACTATTCCAACCAAAAAGTATTAAACTCGACACAGTCGGTCCACAATGTCATTTCACTTAACATGCATTCTAGCGTGGTAGGAATATTGCTACAAACGATGCCCAAAAACGCTGTGAGTCATGACTTAGTGGCAGCACGACAATGCTGCGTGCCTGCTTGTCGATGTGCCCTGCCTGCTCCGAGCAATGAATGCCGACATCCCCGGTGCGATGAACGCTTCCGTGAAAGGTGCTGCTCGGCAATCCTTAACCTTTCCAATCACCTCCGCCGTGAAGCTAATCTTCTCCTCGGGCCCAATTAAAGCGAATGGTGGCTAATTCGCCATCTGATTAATTCTGGCGTAATGGCACGTGAGCCGATCGCGGTCCGTCTAATAAGCGGCAGAAGCCTTGGCTCCCCTCGCCGTTGCCTTCATCAATATTTCACTCCGGTGCTGAGGCGGGGATGGGGGGCTTAAAGGGAGGCTTTACAGTTCACTCGGCAAATTGTTGGGAAAGGTTTTGTTTTAGCATCACGCACTTGAACCTCACATTGCAGGCACAACTCGATAAAAGTGTGCTTTCATTTTTTTTTTCCCCCTGAGAATTGTTGTGAAATAGAAAGACTTGAGCCAGATTCCGGTGAAATTTGAAGCGGGATTTACAATTTAGCTACAAGTGCTCCACTCAAATTTAGGGTTTGTTGGAATATATACCGTCATATTTCATGTCTCAGAATTACAATACAGCCATATTCAATACATGATGTATCGTACAATATTAGCATATTTAATGTTCTATACACTTCTATCGTACTATGTCTGCATCATATTTATCGTTATATGACACGAATGTTTGATACGATGTTTGAAATGATGTTCAATATTCACATCATATTTCATGTCCATACAAGTCCACTGTACCCCATTTACATTTAATGTTAGCGGAAACTGTAATACCATCTGATTTCCATCATATTTAATGCAATATACATCTCTAATGTACTATTTTCAAATCTAATGTTCTGTCATATCCATATACAGTAACTCAAGTGTTGGTTATTATGCTTGAAAGTGTTTCAGAAGGAGTGGGATGGTCCCAGCAGACAACTCGATGACCTTTGCGCACTGTAATAATTAACGAGAGGATCTACATTTGTCGTTTTTTTTTTTTTTTAACTCCCACTCAGTGAGTGTCCTCACCTCAACGCCAATAATGAGCGAGGAGAGCTCGGTCTTCAGCCTGCCAGTCAGAAAAGTGGGCTGACGGCAGGCACGGCCGCTCACCCTGGAGGCTCGTTAGTCAACGCTAAGATGCTAAGCTAATACTTTTTGTATGACATGCCCTGTGGCGACCGTCTCTATTTTTGTCGTGTCATAAATTCGACCGGCCTTGATGAAATAAAAACAGCTACTAGAAGCAGCCTGACTCGAAAAAGGCCTTTTTGGTAACTTCAATGGCAGGAGACAGATTCCCTGACGCAACATTCTGGAGGTCAAATATATGCTGGCCCTTCTTTCTGAGCAGGCAATACGATGACGACTAAGGGATCGGGTTTATGACAACATACGCACAAACAAAAAAGCGGCAAAAGAAACTGCTTTTTTTTTTTCAACCTCATGGTCAGATGGGACTGTGTAAAACAATGTAACACCACACTTTAGTACCCTTTGGTGCCTCGTGACAAAAACGCCCTTAAAACCAACAAACTATGCAAAACAAAACAACTCATTAGGTTGCCGCGCGTGAGGAAAGGACTTTTCGGGAGTGTATTACAGCGTTTCAAGCTTTACACAACCTTGCATCTTTGTGAAATAAACAAAGGCATTGGCAATTGTTAATTCCCAAGCCCGATCATTATTGAATACAAGACTATTAGACAGCTTACAGGCCTTACAGTTATGCAAATTAAAGTTCCTTATTTTTATTTAGAAATGTTCTGCTTCTTTGCCTTGAATCATATTTTGGGTATTATCAGAACGGGTGTTCATGCACAGAATATATCCTATGTATATCAATGTTATTATTTTATATATTGTTTGTTAAAAATATCCAGGGGTCCCCCCCCCCCGCTTTTTTTTTGCCCCCAATATTGGTATCAACCCCGAAAACCCAATCCCAGTCGGGTTCTACATTTTGCAAGGGATAAACGGCGACTCACCCTCTGTTCCTGCGTGGCCACGAAGGTCTGGAAGCCGGGCGCGACGCCGAAGCCCAGCTCATGCACAAAGGGGGGCTCGGCCTGACTGTGGATCTGGACTCGGACCCCCGCTTCGAATGCCGTATCCTCTGCAAAGAATGCACAATCAGGAAATGACAAAGCAGATGGGGAGAACCGTATATTTACAATAAAGTTTTGTTTTGAGTCGTGCGAGTCAGGGAAGCAGCACATTTTGGTGCACCTTGAAGTCCCAGACCAAAGTTCACGATCGGGAAGACTACAACAAGATTGGGAAAAACATCTTTGTGAGCTTATTTGTACATAATCGGGAATGGACAACTGATGAGAAAAAAATAATTGTCATTTTAATTGCTGTCCTTTAATTTTGATAGAAAATGCAGCTCGAGGGCAAGGAATTTAATTCATTTTGGTGCACCTTGAAGTCCCAGACCAAAGTTCACGATCGGGAAGACTACAACAAGATTGGGAAAAACATCTTTGTGAGCTTATTTGTACATAATCGGGAATGGACAACTGATGAGAAAAAAATAATTGTCATTTTAATTGCTGTCCTTTAATTTTGATAGAAAATGCAGCTCGAGGGCAAGGAATTTAATAGTTTTTTTTTTTTTTATCACAGAAAAACAGGATTGAAAGGACACACACACACACACACACACAGACACACACGCCCTAACATTTATGGTAAAACAGAGAGAGATTGAATATCTGTGTGGAAATCGATGCAATTAGGGGGACGGCAACAATTTCCACACACACGCCAGGGGCGCGAGAAGTGACAGTCGGGCGCGCGTCCCGCCTCCGTTGCTCAAAAAAACGGTGGCGCGGCGAGATCACGTGACTCACCGAGGGCGGGCTCAGCGCAGTCTTTGTACTGCTCGGGTGTGCAGTAGGAGGCGTCACCTGTCAAGAAGACCATCTTGAGTAAAGATGTCAACTGATCTTAACTTTTAGTCGCAGGTGATGGAATGCGTTCGGTTTTGGGCGGGGCGCCTACCGGGCATGTGCACCATCCTGCAGTTGCAGTTCTCCACAATGTAGCGTGTCTCACAGTCGATCCGGCAGGCGGTCACGCTGTACACCGGGAAGAAGCCCGACTCCAGCGTCTTCGACTCGCACTCGCCCCAGGGCGGAGGCAGGAAGGTGAGCTACAAGGGAGGAAGAAAATGTTTTGAAATGTCACCTTTCTCAACAGTACGTTAGGATTTATAAAAGAAATTTAGTTGGAAGCCCTTAAGCGGCACAGGGAAATAAACATGGATGAACACAAGAGTTTGGCTCGACATGCTATTTTTGGGCTGCAGATTAAACACCGCTAGTTAGCTGAGCCAAACAATTTCACAGTTGTACAGACACTTGACCAAATAATTCCTCCGGGTCTGACAAAGGAGGCAACACTCCAACACGCTGCGGTCTGAACAAGAAGAAGAAGAAGAAGGGTCAAACAACACAGCCCGAGTTGTCACGGACGTGCATTCCGCACGAGGGAGCGGCAACTACATTTTGTGGATGAAGCGCGACGCGACGGTGCCAGGTGAAAAGTGGGCGGCTGCCGGCTGGGATTGAATAGCGCGTCTGCTCTGCGCTATCGGTCCAGACGAGCGGGAAGCCGCTCCAACATTCCGTTTGAAAGCAGCCAAGTGCGCGGAATGTTGCCGATTGCTGTGCAAGGCTGTGACGGATGATAAGAAAGCAGCCAGTGGAAGAAATGAATACTGACATCCCCGACGCCGGTTTAACATGCTTCTTGGCCATCCTCAACTTTTAAGTTACTCCATATGCCCATTAAGGATTTATCAGCCGCCGAGTCCGGTTGTCGCTAACCAAAACAGCAGTACATAAAACGGCTTCTCAGAGGAGTTAGGTTGTGTTGCGGTACAACTTCTATTTTCAGTGTTGGTGATGCCAAGATAACATTCATGTGGAGACTCGCACATGCCCTGTGGAGCTACACCCTACTTAGAGTTTCAAGTACAGCTCGACATAAATTGGTCATTTTATTGTGGTCAAAGCGGTCACTTTGAAATCTAGTCGCTGCAACACTGCGGGAATTTTTGCTCGATTTCATTTGACTAAGATTGTAATTAGTGCTGTCAAGCGATTAAAAAAAATTATGTGATTAATTAATTTGGGCTGTAATTAATTAATCTAATTAATCTACATTTTAATCTCATCTAAACATTACAGAGAAAAACCCTATTTTCATTTTAAATTCGTTACATTATGAGGCAGATCAAAAGATAAAATAAAAAGTGGCATTTTAAAGTATTTTATTGATTTTCAGCAGACTTGGACAGATGCAGTCCTAGCCATTTACTTTCTGCTTTATTTGAGACTAGTCAAAGTCCTGCAATCTTTAGTTTCGACCACGAGGGGGAATATCACTGTTTTGTTTGTTTTTGTAAATCTCCAAAGAATTACAAAATAAAAATAAAATTTGAACATCAGGGGTCCCCCATTAACTGCGAAAAACGAAGGATTACTGCATTCCAAAAAAATATGCCACTCTGACATGTAGCCGCTCCGCAATGTTGTGTGCATTCCGAGGAAGCTATGCCGCTCATGCTTTCCAATTTCACATCCCGGTATATGAAATTACAGCATTGTGAGAATATTATGATATACTATTCCAACCAAAAAGTATTAAACTCGACACAGTCGGTCCACAATGTCATTTCACTTAACATGCATTCTAGCGTGGTAGGAATATTGCTACAAACGATGCCCAAAAACGCTGTGAGTCATGACTTAGTGGCAGCACGACAATGCTGCGTGCCTGCTTGTCGATGTGCCCTGCCTGCTCCGAGCAATGAATGCCGACATCCCCGGTGCGATGAACGCTTCCGTGAAAGGTGCTGCTCGGCAATCCTTAACCTTTCCAATCACCTCCGCCGTGAAGCTAATCTTCTCCTCGGGCCCAATTAAAGCGAATGGTGGCTAATTCGCCATCTGATTAATTCTGGCGTAATGGCACGTGAGCCGATCGCGGTCCGTCTAATAAGCGGCAGAAGCCTTGGCTCCCCTCGCCGTTGCCTTCATCAATATTTCACTCCGGTGCTGAGGCGGGGATGGGGGGCTTAAAGGGAGGCTTTACAGTTCACTCGGCAAATTGTTGGGAAAGGTTTTGTTTTAGCATCACGCACTTGAACCTCACATTGCAGGCACAACTCGATAAAAGTGTGCTTTCATTTTTTTTTTCCCCCTGAGAATTGTTGTGAAATAGAAAGACTTGAGCCAGATTCCGGTGAAATTTGAAGCGGGATTTACAATTTAGCTACAAGTGCTCCACTCAAATTTAGGGTTTGTTGGAATATATACCGTCATATTTCATGTCTCAGAATTACAATACAGCCATATTCAATACATGATGTATCGTACAATATTAGCATATTTAATGTTCTATACACTTCTATCGTACTATGTCTGCATCATATTTATCGTTATATGACACGAATGTTTGATACGATGTTTGAAATGATGTTCAATATTCACATCATATTTCATGTCCATACAAGTCCACTGTACCCCATTTACATTTAATGTTAGCGGAAACTGTAATACCATCTGATTTCCATCATATTTAATGCAATATACATCTCTAATGTACTATTTTCAAATCTAATGTTCTGTCATATCCATATACAGTAACTCAAGTGTTGGTTATTATGCTTGAAAGTGTTTCAGAAGGAGTGGGATGGTCCCAGCAGACAACTCGATGACCTTTGCGCACTGTAATAATTAACGAGAGGATCTACATTTGTCGTTTTTTTTTTTTTTTAACTCCCACTCAGTGAGTGTCCTCACCTCAACGCCAATAATGAGCGAGGAGAGCTCGGTCTTCAGCCTGCCAGTCAGAAAAGTGGGCTGACGGCAGGCACGGCTGCTCACCCTGGAGGCTCGTTAGTCAACGCTAAGATGCTAAGCTAATACTTTTTGTATGACATGCCCTGTGGCGACCGTCTCTATTTTTGTCGTGTCATAAATTCGACCGGCCTTGATGAAATAAAAACAGCTACTTGCAACAGCCTGACTCGAAAAAGGCATTTTTGGTAACTTCAATGGCGGGAGACAGATTCCCTGACGCACACATTCTGGAGGTCAAATATATGCTGGCCCTTCTTTTTGAGCAGGCAATACGATGACGACAAAGGGATCAGTTTTATGACAACATATGCACAAACAAAAAAGCGGCAAAAGAAACTGCTTTTTTTTTTCAACCTCATGGTCAGATGGGACTGTGTAAAACAATGTAACACCACACTTTAGTACCCTTTGGTGCCTCGTGACAAAAACGCCCTTAAAACCAACAAACTATGCAAAACAAAACAACTCATTAGGTTGCCGCGCGTGAGGAAAGGACTTTTCGGGAGTGTATTACAGCGTTTCAAGCTTTACACAACCTTGCATCTTTGTGAAATAAACAAAGGCATTGGCAATTGTTAATTCCCAAGCCCGATCATTATTGAATACAAGACTATTAGACAGCTTACAGGCCTTACAGTTATGCAAATTAAAGTTCCTTATTTTTATTTAGAAATGTTCTGCTTCTTTGCCTTGAATCATATTTTGGGTATTATCAGAACGGGTGTTCATGCACAGAATATATCCTATGTATATCAATGTTATTATTTTATATATTGTTTGTTAAAAATATCCAGGGGTCCCCCCCCCCCGCTTTTTTTTTGCCCCCAATATTGGTATCAACCCCGAAAACCCAATCCCAGTCGGGTTCTACATTTTGCAAGGGATAAACGGCGACTCACCCTCTGTTCCTGCGTGGCCACGAAGGTCTGGAAGCCGGGCGCGACGCCGAAGCCCAGCTC